TTACCTGAAACCAGACCTGAACTCTGGATTCACTTAAATTGAGTCTTAGGGCGAGTTCTTCGCGGGCGAACACATCAGGATAAGGGGCCCTCTGGAAGGCCCGCTCCAACTCTTCCAACTGATATGATGTAAATGTTGTCCTGTTTTTGTTTGACAGACAGAATACCGAGTGATCCAAGTGTTCACATGAGATACTCTCGTGTGAACACAATTCTTGGATCACTCGGTATTCTTAACTTAAGATAATTGTAACACAAATTATAATTCATACAAAACTTAAGCAAAATTCAAAATTATTTTCATTCAATAAATAAATTATAATACAAATGAATGTTTGAAATAATTTAAATAATTTGTTAAATCAATCACAAAATTAACAAAAATTCAATTCATAATAAATTATATGAAATAAATTGAATGAAAATAAAATAATTTAATTCAAATAAATAATATAAATAATAAAATATAATTAATTAAAATTATTAAAATTAACAAATTTGAAATTATATACAAAAATTAAACAACTTAGTAAATTATAAATTTAATGCAATATTAATCCAAAATAATTAAATACAAAATTAATAAATAATACAAAAATAAAACAAACCTTGTTTTCTTCTTTTTGTTAGTATTGTTAGAATTGTTTGAAGTTTTATTATTTGAGCCACAATTGGATTCATTCATAGTATTAGAAGCGGACAGTTGTGGAGGTTTGCCGGCGCTCTCCATAACTGTAATGTTTGTGCGTTTTTGTAATTTTGTATTTGTATCTGTTTTGCAATTAAATTGCATATAATTATAGTTATAAAAGCATCAAAATATGTGTAAATCGTACCCTAACTTCTCCCACACTATTCAAGACACTAATTAATTTGATTTATCAAAATTCAAGATCATTTTAAGAGTATTATATTGATTGTAATACATTATGATCAATTCTTGCATTTTTAGTTACAAATTTAAACATGTTATTTTACTTAAACAAATAATAATCAAATAAAGATAATAAATAATAATTCATATTATGCAGAATGTTACTTATTTAAATTGCTTATACAGTACAGTATTAACATTGTATTGTGCTTATAATAGTAAAGTAAATTTATAAAATATATTTTAACCATTCTAAGCTATTCAAAATAATATAGTTGTGCAAAAACACTGCAAATAATATTATAGATTATAATATATAATTATAGAAAAATAAAATCTATATTGTTTTTAATTTAAAATTTTTGTTCACATTTAATAAAAAGACAATTCTTAATTATAAATTAATCTTAATAATTGTAAATTAATTGTTTAATAAATATATTAAACATACCGTAAACGAAATCTCTTGAGTAAAAAGAGGAGACATTAGGCAAAGTGGGAGGACTGGGCTCTAAACGATGCAATAGAGACGATGAGCCATAAGTATTGGTTGTGTTGAAGAATGATTGA